TCCGGGTGCGGGACACTGTCCTCCTCAAGTCCGGGCCCCGCAAGAAATCCATGCCCTACGTCGCCAAGATATCGGCGCTGTGGGAAGACCCCAAAACAGGTACATGCTGCAGGGGAACTGGGAAGTGGTGGGTCTCGGGAGAGCTGCAGGCTGGGCAGGGTGATGGAGAGGAACAGATCAGCTCTGTGGCTTTCGATCAGATTGTTCCAGGAGCTGAGAGGTTCTTGGATCACCAGCTTGGGGCTGGTAATTGGAATCTTCCTGGTCGTGAAAGCACCTAATATCTGCCAAATGTCCATCTTAGCAACCACCTCCTTTGTGGTTTCGTCATGGCAGACATCTCAGGGGCTGCTGTTCACCTGCTCTGTCCAGCCTGTGGGCTGGGAGTTGCTGTGAGCACAGGCTGATCTGCAGAAGCTCTTGGTGGGACCTGAGCAGAGGTGGTGGTTGGAGTAGTGTGGCTTTGGTGTTAAGGTCCCATGTCTGACCAGTGACTCCTGTGCCAAGGAAGCTGTGCCAGATGTTGCAGAGTACAGACCTTGCTTGAAAGTTGAAAAAAAACCCCAAAATTATATGTAAAATAACTGATAAAAGCATGGTGAGGCCCATCCTGGTCATGTCATCCCAGGACGGAATCTTCCTGGTTGTGAAAGCACCTAATATCTGCCAAATGTCCATCTTAGCAACCACCTCCTTTGTGGTTTCGTCATGGCAGACATCTCAGGGGCTGCTGTTCACCTGCTCTGTCCAGCCTGTGGGCTGGGAGTTGCTGTGAGCACAGGCTGATCTGCAGAAGCTCTTGGTGGGACCTGAGCAGAGGTGGTGGTTGGAGTAGTGTGGCTTTGGTGTTAAGGTCCCATGTCTGACCAGTGACTCCTGTGCCAAGGAAGCTGTGCCAGATGTTGCAGAGTACAGACCTTGCTTGAAAGTTGAAAAAAAACCCCAAAATTATATGTAAAATAACTGATAAAAGCATGGTGAGGCCCATCCTGGTCATGTCATCCCAGGACAGCAGTTCTGGCATGAACCTGGGAGCTAATGCTGCAAGTACTGACCTTTGGATGAGCAGCTTTCCCAGCTTTCCATCTGAGTGGACGCTTTTTTCAGATGGGAATGTTCCATTTCTGTATTTTTAGTTTGTGCCTAACTGAGCTCTTTGGCGATGTGACACAAGCAGAGGGGGGTGAAGCTGTAATGGGATAGCCCTGTTGGCTTCTTGCTGTGACAAAAGGACACCTGGTTGAGCATGAAATATTGATCCCAGCACGGCTGGCCCTGCCGGGGCGCTCGGGGAGGGACAGGGCTGAGGCAGGAGAAGGAAGCTGGATGTTGGTGGGAAAACAGGACCAGAAAACTGAGGCTTGACATATTTCAATGACTCTTCTTGCAGGGGAGCTGATGATGAGCCTCCTGTGGTATTACAGACCAGAGCACACTCAGGGAGGCCGCAATCCCAGTATGCACCAGGTGAGCCACCCGGCGCCAGACTGGTGTCCCAGTGTGTCTGCATCCCCGCGGGAAGAGGGGATGAGCCCGAGCATCCCCCTGCATTCCTGGGTGGCCTCAAGCCCCAGGGGCTGAGCTGCTGTTGTCAGTGAAGTGGGGCTGTCTCTGGGCTGTGGTGCAGCTGTTGCCAGCTGTGCTGGGCAGTGGTGTCCAACAGATGGGCCTTCCCCAGGTTTATTGTGGTGTGAGGAAGCTCTGGGCTGTGGCAGAAGCTGCTGGGTTCTCCTGGGGAGACCAGGAGACCTGGTCTCCTCTGCTACATTTCAAGTTTTCTTCCTTTAATCTGAGAAAACCGTGTGCATGAAGTGAAGAGCTGCTCTGCCTGCTGCCTCAGGAGTGGGGAAGAGCGAGTTCATACAGACCCAGGGTCAGACTCCTTCCCACAAAGTGTGGTCTGGGTCACCCAGGAGGGCAGAGCTCAGAGCAGCAGCTCCTGCTGCCACTGAAGGCACTGGAGCACCTGCCTCTGGGGCAGAAACCCCTCTATCTGCTGCTGCAACCCCAGAAACCTGTTTGCTTTGTGCAGAAATGGGGATGCAGCCTCCTCCCTGTGTGGATTTATGATGAGAACTGGCTCGAGGAGGTTGTGCCAGTGTAACAGGGGCTGCCTTGTAAAAGGAACAAAGTGACTCATCACTCCACACCACGCTCTGCTTTGCTTGGGCTCATGTTGGTGACTGAACAACCTGGTTTTAAACCAAGGATGGAGAATTTACTGCTGTTTTCAACCCACCAAAATACTTGGTGCCCTTTTCCTTCCCCCATATTTTTTAAATAAAAGGGGAGGGAAGGCTGGGGAGTTGTGCCTGCCTGACCTGCAGGGCACAGGTGAGTTCCTGCACTACCATGTGGCACCTCCCAGTGTCCTGGTCCGTAAAGGAAGTGTCTGTATCCAGTTGTGTTGTAGTGTAGTCTGCCCTGGAGGAATGAAGCCAGTTTTTTTGCACAGCAGCTTAATTACACAAGACCTAAATGAGAGAGTGTGTTTGGGCTGAGCAGCTGGGCTGGGCTTGCTGAGCATGACTCAGATGGTTTTGATGCAAGGAGCAGAGCACAAGCCCAGCCAGGTGTGGCAGTTCAGGGCTCTGATGGAGTCTGTCCCTCATGGTGACCCTTTGCCAGCCTTCCCTTCCAGCCTCCTTCCCTGGAGCTGTGAGCAGAAACAGAGCCTGGGGTAACACTTCCAGGCTTGGGCAGAGCATCTTTATTCCCAGAGATCATCTTTGCTGATCTAACCACACCTGGAATGTTTCAGGTGGCTCTGTCTGGGGTGCCCCACATCTAACCCATCCTGCCAAGTTTCCTCGGTTGCCCTGGGAAAAAAGGCTGTTGCTGCTTCCCTCACCAAGGCAGCCTTTTAAATGGAATTGGGGTGAGGAAAGGGTTGGAAATGAAGGGATTCTCTTAGCTTTGATACAGAGATGGATTAGAAAGACAGGTTGTGTGTCAGAGGGTCGTGTGTCTAAAGACAGGGAAGTGCTGTTCAGCCTGTGTTCCAGTTCTTAGCTGTACAGATGAACTGGAAGAGTTTCCAGCACAGGGAATGGAAAATGGAGGAAGAACATCCCTAGGAGCTCGGAGGGATGTGTGGGTGGGGAATGCTCTGACCTCCTGCCTGCAGGAGCATGGCTCACTGGCAGTTCTGGCTGTGGTGTGAGGGCTCCTTCCACGTGGAGTCTGTGCTCAGATTTTGGACAAGCTGGAGCAAAGGCACCTGCAAGAGTAGGGATTTTTCTGAACCTCTGCAGTATCTGCCCTGAAGGACTCTGCCTTCTTCCCTCTTTCTTGTCTCCTTGTCATTCCCAGGTGTTGCAATAGCACTTTCAAAATGCTGCTTTTATTTCTTCCAGCTCAGCTTTGCAAAAGCTCATCATCTGGGATGCTTCTCAGTGGGGGCCACAAGCAGCCTGTCACCCCCAGGAGGAAAGAGGAGGTTGAGTGGTGCAGCTGGTGGTGGCCTTGCTGCTCACAGGCTTTTGTAACGTTGGCAGTAGGTGTGGGGTGTGGACACTTGGCCTCACAAAGTGTTAAATGATGGGAGAGCTTCAAATGCTTTGCTCACATGTTGCTGGATAGACTTCTGGTGGATGCTCTAGGTCCCAAAACACGTGGAAGGTGCCTGGATGATGTGAAATACTTGCTCTAGGGAGAATCTGCTGTGAGCTTGCTTTGTTAGACTCCCCTTTAAGGTGATGGGTGAAGGTGTGGAGCTGGCCCTGCCTCTCTGGGCTCCTGCCAGCTGGGTGACCTCTTCCTTCCTTCTCTTGCAGAACGAGATCTTTGCGTCCCGGCATCAGGACGAAAACAGTGTTGCCTGCATAGAAGAGAAGTGCTACGTGCTGACCTTTGCAGAGTACTGCAGGTAGGTGGTGCTCTGAACCTGCTGCTCCCCAGACCTTCCTCTGTTTCCAGCTCCTGCCACCCTCTGGGTTTCCAGTCCTCACCCAGAACCAGCTCTTGCTGAGCTGGATGAGCTGTGCTCTGCAAGTGCTGCTTCCCCTCTGCAGTTGTTACATCTGTTTTGTGCAAGATCTGTGCTTTAAGGGGCTCACAAATGTGTGACCTCATACCACAGCAGTGGAGGACAGGGCAGGAAAACCTCCCTCATGTGGAGCTGAACCCTGAGCAGGGCAGGAGATCGTCCTGCACATCCTGCCCATCCATCCCGCTTGGCAGCAGTGTTGGGAGCAGGGAACTGAGGCTTTTGCTGTTGAGCTCTTGCTGATTGAATGGAAACTGTCAGGGAGAGCTTCCCAGCATCCATATCCACCACTGCCAGGCTTGGGTGGATGGATGTGCGGGGCAGAATGGAAATGGGGCTTGGGTGGACACACAATCCATCATGCAGAACAGGGCTGTAAATAAATCTCTTTGGCTTCGCTGGGCTCCTCTGCTGAAGTGTGCAGGCTGAGCAGGCAGGGGGTGTTCAGCATCTCTGGGAACTGAGTGTTGCTCTTCCTTTGGAGAACTCTAAAAACACCCAACAAAACAACCAACAAAACACAGCAAACAAAAGCAGAACACCCAACTCCTGTAGCTTTGGATCCAGACAGCTCCCTCCCTCTCTAACAGCCCAGTCCCCTGCAATAGCTGTTGGCAGGAATTTCTGTGTGCTGCTGTGGGCAAGGTTGCCTGGGAGAGATGTTCCCTGAAGGCATCTTGAATCCTTCTTTGCCTCAACCACGAGCCTGATGCACGAGCCTCTCCTGGGGCTAATGAATAAAAATGAGGCCAAAGCAGTAAAAGCAAGGTGGGTTACTGCAGCTCCCTAACTGCAGCACCCAGCAGCACAGACACAGGAACCCCTGTGCTGCTGCCTGCATCCCAGGCCGACAGCAGCAGCTGGTCCCTCCTCTCCAGCAGAGCTCTGCTTCCCTCCTTCCCAGCCCCGTTCCCAGCCACACAGGTGGACACGAGCAGTGGGAGCTGAGCTGGTGCTGACTGTTCCCATTGCCTTCCAGATTTTGTGCCTTGGCAAAGCGTCGCGTCGAAGGGATCCCGGGCAGGAAAACCATGATGGTTCCTCCCTCGGAACAATATTCCACCCCTCTGCACCGCAAGGTGCCCGAGGACACTGACCCTGAGCTGGTTTTCCTCTGTCGTCACGTCTACGACTTCAGGCACGGGCGCATCCTGAAGAACCCCCAGTAGCCCCGTTCCCGTCCCGGCGGCACCGGCACGTCCCGGCGCTCCGGGCAGCCCGCAGGAGCAGCTCCCGGGGAGCCAGGCAGCAGTGGAAAGCACAGCACTTCATGAAAAGCATAAATGAGAATATATACGTATAAAATAAATATATGTATATAGATATAGGTACCTGCATATGTAAATCTATATCTATATATGTATCTAGAGATGCATTTATCGGGAAGGGGTTTGCAGGGGATAAAAGCCAGTAAACTGAATCCAGAGCCATCGCTGGTGGGAACGCTGGAGGGGTGCTTGGGTGCAGTGTGCCAGTCAAGCTGTGACAGTTCCGTGGTTTTCATGCCCTGGTGAGAAGTGTGAGGACCCAGAGCAGTTCCTGGCAGAGCACAGGAGTCTCCATTGCCCCGTGGGACAGACTGAGGATTCCCGGGGGGAGGGAGCTGCTTCAAAATGCAGCCCTTGCTTGGGAAGCTCCCGGGATGCAGAGTGGCCTTGGGTAGTGCTTGGGTTGGGTTTGCTCTGTTGGGGGAAGAAATTATTCCTTTTCCCTCTCCTTTTTCTCTTCCCCTCACCTCACTGTTCCATGATTCCCCCTGGCTGGGGCTTGGCAGGCAGTGTGGGGGCAGGCCCCAGGGAAGTGAGGATTCCCGGGGGGAGGGAGCTGCTTCAAAATGCAGCCCTTGCTTGGGAAGCTCCCGGGATGCAGAGTGGCCTTGGGTAGTGCTTGGGTTGGGTTTGCTCTGTTGGGGGAAGAAATTATTCCTTTTCCCTCTCTTCCCCTCACCTCACTGTTCCATGATTCCCCCTGGCTGGGGCTTGGCAGGCAGTGTGGAGCCAGGCTCCAGGGAAGGGGCAGGGGGAGCAGGGTGGTCTCCATCTTTTCTCCTCTGAGGAGAAAGCTCTTTTCCCAGCTTGTTTCCCTGTGACAGTTCCCAGTTCCTGTGTGACCCCCCATACCTGCAGTGTGAAGCAGCCAGAGGCCTGAGGGGGAAAAGGCAAAACCTTCTCTTGGGTGTTTGGTTTTTTTTGGCTGTTTAAACAGTTCCCTCCCTTAGGTGAGGCCCTGGGCCTGGCTGTGCTCTCAGAGCCAGCAGCTTCTCCCCCTCCAGCTCCCAGAGCAGCCTGGGGGCTCCAGGAGGGAACGGAGCCCTGGGAAAGGTTCACATGGACATATGTGCCCCACTGGTATCGACCACCTCTTGCCTTAGCCTGTAGGTCCTGGAGAGACCTTAGTTTATCTGAACACCAACTGGTCACTTAATTCATTCTAAAGCAAACCCAGGGGCAGTGTTGCTGCCCCACGGGCTGGGAGCCCAGCCCCAGCCTGCACTGCTGGAGGAGCCAGCAGCATCATCCCCCCTTCCTGCTGGTTGGAATCACTTGCTGACACTGGGCATCTGCCTTTTGCTGGGTCTTTTGGGGCTTCTGAGCCCATGCTCAGTGGTGGAGGGGTTCCTCCTGCTCCAGTGGGGTCAGTGGAAGTAGCTCTGCCTGTCCCTGACTGCAGCAGGGGGGGATCCCAGGGCTTGTGGCCTCACACCTGGAGAGAGAACTGGAGAGGAGACCCCACAGCATCACATCCCTCACGTGGAAATGGCCTGTTAGTGCAGGAGCTCTCCAGAGGTTTGCTCTACATACCAAAGAGGGGAATGTGTCCAGGAGACTGTGACTGGAGAGGAGCTGATGGGACCTGGGTGAGCAGGGACTATTCCTGCTCCATGTTGTGAAGGGTGCTGGAAAAGCCCCAAGTGTTCTGGGCTGTGGAGCCCAGGGAAAAACACCTGACAAAAACCACCAGGGACAAAGCCAGGAGGTTTGCTCCTGGGTGTGCAAGCGAGAGAATTGGTGGGTGAAGCAGCTTCTCATTTATACCTCGAGGTACTTGATGGTGTCAAAGCAGTTGCTCGGGTTTCTCCTCCATTACCGTGGGCAGGGGTGGGCTCTTGGGGTGCTGGGGCAGGGTGGGATTCAGGAGGGTTCCTGGGGCTCTCGGGGGACAGTGCAAGGAGCAGGGGCTTGTGTGATGCTGGGAGCAGGTGCTGCGTGGCAGGGAGAAGCAGAGCTGCTGCTGCCTGGGGCACAGGGAGGTGGTGGCACAGGAGGTGATGGGAAGCCCTCAATGCACACGTGGGATGGGGAGGGCCTCCTGGGACCCCCAGCCTGCAGCAGGCCAAGCCTTCCCCTGGGAAAAGTGCCCTCAGACATGGGATGTTTCCCAACCCCTTGCAAAGTCTGAGCACGGCTGCACAGCTGGGGCAGGGCTCGAGAGCAGCCTTGGGAACCACAGGAACCCCCTTCTGGCCCCTCTCCCACCTCTGTCCTGGCTCCTCTCCAGGTGGAACAGAAATCCCACTCTCCCTGGGTCAGGAACAGGCTTTGCCCTGTGTCTGGAGAGGACAAATCCTGACTCTGTCATGTTAGATTCTGCTTGAGGCCAAGAACATTGTTGGAGATTCACGTGGTTGCTTATGCTGTTGAGCAAACAGCATGTAAATGAAATGTCTTATCCATAATGAAAATATTTCATGCTTTTTTAATCTATTAGATATGGAAATATTTTTTGAAACTGAAAATGCAGTCGGTAGAATTTAAATTGAAACGTAATACATGTAAAATATATTTTAGTTGATAATTTTGTAAAATGCACTTTTTTTGTGTCTCTTCCCTGGTTTCCCAGATCTGTATTTCAGTGTTTACAGATGGAATGAGAACATTCCCTATACCCTCCTTCTGTGAGAAAGATATATTAGAAGTAATTCTTAAAAAATAAATTTGAAAAATCGTATTGATTTAGAAAACAAAGCAGTGCTGCTCTTCTCTGCCCTGCCTGGATGTCCCTCAGGCCCCTTGGGGGGCAGGAGTGGGAAGTGCTTGGAAGTGCCAGTGTGGGAACAGGTTGGGTGCTGGGGTGAGGGAATTGCCTTCAGGAATGGGATCAGGATGCCCGATGGAAGTGTCACCGTGTGAGGGCAGTGAGAGGTCTGGGGGTGCCAGCAGCAGGTCTGGGGGTGCCAGGCAGTGCCCGAGGGGTGCAGGAGGATGGAGGGGCTGCTGTCCCTGCTCCTCAGCCCTGGATGGAGCAGACACCCGTGCCCTGTGTGTGCCCCGCTCGGGCTGGCTGGGTGGGAAGGGTCCCTCCCTGGGGACACTTAAAACTGAGAAGCAGCTTTTCCATCCCAGCTCTTCCCACGTCGCCAAAGGGATAATCTTGTGGCGGGCTGAGAAGTTGGGATTAATGTCAAAGAAAATTGGATTTACTGCAGAAATCTGCTACCGAGGGAGCTGTGCTGAGCTGCACCCAGCTCTGCACAAACTGCAGCAAACTCCAAACTTCCCTTGTGCTGTGTCTGGTTCCAGGGCGTGGGAAACACCCTGGGGGTTCCCTGCTGCCCACAGGGTCATCCTTGGAGGTGCCACCACGTGTCAGCAGAGGTGGGCTCACCTGGAGAGCTGTGTTGCCACTGGAATCCCACACTGCTTTGGCTGGCTGAGGGTCTCCTGGTTGCTCCACGGCTGGTTTTGCTACCTGAGGGTGGTGGAGGTGAGAGCAGCAGAGCCAGCCTGCCCCTGCCAGCTGCCCGGAGGTGATGGAGCAGGGAGGGCAATGCGGGGGGAAGGTGGCACTTGGGGGGCTGGGGAGGAGTAGTTGGGGCTGCAGGGACCTGCAGAGGCTTTGGGTGAGGTCTGAGCACTGGGACAAACACACGGGATGGGTGGGAGATGCTCAAAGCTTTGGGAATTCAGTCCTTTGAGAAGCACGGGAGGGTTTGCCCAGTGTTGCTGTTCCCGCAGCCTGGGCGGTGCTGGTGCAGCTCAGGGCTGGGATTTGGAGCAGCTCCTGGTGCCAGGAAGGTGCCAGCTGGGCTCCTGGCACACGTCACTGCTGGGGCTTTCCCGGGGGCTTTCCCACCACGGGCCTGGCTCCCTGCAGCTCCCAGATGGAGACCCAAAGTGGCACTCGGGACCTGCTCCAGTTCCCCGTGCGTCTTCCCCGCACAAGCTCCTGGTGGCTCCCCCAGAAGCCACGAGCTGCTGGTTACACTGAACTGCTGCTTTGATGCTGCTAATGAGAAGTGACTGTAATTGTGCCAACAGCCATCCCAGCCAACAGGCAGCAGCAATTTGGACTGTCGGGTTCCCGTGGCAGCTCAGTGTCTCCCGGCCTGTGCCCTTGGAAGCAGCAGCTGATGGAGCAGCTGTGCCCAGCAGCAGCTCCTGTGTCTGCCTCAGGTTTCCCACGTTGCTGGTGGCAGGAGCAGCCTCTGGCAATGCTGCTGCCACCCAGGGAGGTGGGACACACGTCCCCATCCTGCCCTGCTGGCCCCAGGGAGCTGAAGTGTGATTCCCTGTTCCGTGGTGCCTGTTTTCACCCTGTTGCTACAGGAAAAAGGCTCAGCCCACAGAGCTGGGGGTCAGGGCAGGAAACAGCAGATGCTCCTGACCCCTCCGTGCTGGTGTTAGCTCCAAGCTTCCAGAATTGCCCCCCCAACCCTGGGGAAGAGGGAGCTGTGCAGGGAGCCCAGCCAGGACCACCCTGCTCCAAACCCCAGCAATCTGTTGCAATCAGCCCTTTATCCACTGATCCACCCCCCCGAGGGTGTTTATTGCAGGGCTGAAGGTTTGTTCTTCCCAACACCTGCCTGGAACGGGGGTCAGGAGCTTCACAGGGCCCCTCACCTTAACCTCCCCAGGGCACAGCTTTGGGGACAGCCACCAGCAGTGGCACCTTCCAGGGCCACCACACTGCAGTGCCAGGAGAGGGAGGAGAGTTGTCAAGAAGAAGGAAATGAGCCCAAAATCGGGGATGGAAGAGAAACCATTGCTGGCCTCCCTGGGACACGTGGGCACCTGATATCCATAGGGCTGACACAGGACCCACTAACCTTGCCAGAGGAACCACGAAGTCGTGGTGTGGCCTTGGAACCAGCTGCAAGGGGGTAATTAATAACTGGGAATGCTGTAATGGTGGCACTGGGAATGGGACTGTGTAGGGAGCCAAGGGAGTG